TGATAATTCGTAACATCACTCTTTGGGGTCTTTAGATCGGCACATTCTGTCACGATGGAGGTTAAGGGAGTCAATTTAGACAATTTTTCCGTCACGAGATTTAGTTAACTAGAGGTACCGTATTAATACCGGCGCATTCACCATTTTTTATGTGTTGTCACATTGTTTGATTTCAAATAAATGGTACATTGACATTGACTTTAAGATTGTATATTAAGTGAATTAGTATTCTGCGCCTCAATGGTTATTATTGTTTTATTTTTTCGGTGTAAAATACTTATAGGCCTAACATTGAATTTATTTATTTTAAAAATTAGTGTTATTCCAAAAAATCATTTAATTTTACCTGGTAGAGGAAAGTCGCCTATGTACCATTTTAATTTTTATAATTATTTTATTTATTTAGTTTTGTTTATTTTTACGTTGGTTCTTTAAAATGCAAGCAAGATAAAAAAATCCCTAAAACATTATAATTTTTGTGTAAAAAAATAATTTAAAAATTCTTTGTCTACCCCATATAAGGCCTATTATAGGTACTGGTATAATCTTCAATTGGGTAGCTGAAAAAATGTCTGGTGCAATTGTATAGTATAAACAAATTAAAGAAAAATAAAAGGAATTTACACTTATTATTATACGTATTTAACTTTAAAATTTTATTGATATAAAAACATGTTTATATATAAAAAACTGAATATAAAGTCCAGATTCACATTAAAACCTTGTATAATAGATTTTTTTCAAACAACTAAACAAATTAAAATATAATATACAACGCTTATCGAAAAGAAACCAAGTGCCAACAACTTTTTCTGGGCTTAGTAAAATTATTAGTAAAATAACTCATATTTAATAAAGTTCCCAAATCATTATTAATTTTTTGAGCAGCATTAAAAATTAGTTATTTTGCAATTTTACAATGCAAAAATATCCGAAATGATAAAACGATGTTTATTAAGGTAAGAAAAAAAACCTAAGAGTGATGGAGGAATTCCTACAACGGATTCTGAAATCCATAGAATGTGACTACTCTAGTCCGTCAGACATCCTTCTTTTATTTTTTTTGTGGGGCTGTTATTCTCTGCTACCAATTTATAAAAATATTCTCAGCTAGTTACAAGTTACTGATCAGTTACTGGCTATTTACTTACTATGGTATTATTTATTTTACCTACATAAACATTTTGCGCGTAATATCTACATACTCAGTACGCAATTGGTTAATCGTCCATAAAACTTTCATGCTGCATACGTAAACGTATACGTGCATGTGTAAACGTCTTAAAGTATACAAGGTGTGTAAAGTAAATACGTATTTTTTTACTGTTTGATTATATTGATCATTTTAAGAAAGACAAGTTTTCTTTTTCTGGTAAAGAGATTTAATTCCGTCTTTGCAGGATTTACATAAAGGAAATTTTTAAGGCAAGTATGTTTAGAGTAGTTTGCTTAAGATCGCAAACGATGCTCCTAATTTTCAGGCAAGTTATTTTGGAAGTCATTTATCCACAACTGCATATTAAAATTATAGCTTCGTACAATCATGATTGCACACTGCACTCAGAAGAAGTGTCTCTCGGACACTCTTGTTCAGGATACAGATGTGACGTTTCCTAGTTATTTCCTTTCCACAATTTAGTAGTAAGTGGCTTAGAGATAATCTCAGTGCATCCTGTTTTATAAAAAAGTTCAAAAAAGGAATGTTTCAGATTACTTCACAGCTGCCGTTGAAGTTGTGCGCATGCCACATGTAACGCATGATTTTGACCAAGATGGACAGATCGGCAGTCCTTACTGCCAGAAGAATACTGAGGCCTTCTGAAATTTGTGCTTTAGGTGACTACCCCAGTTAATTTTGTCTAGAACTATTGCCAAGTATTTTCCTTGGTTTGTAAGTTTTAGACAGGTTACAAATAACTTGGGCATTTTGACAAAGACAAGTTTTTTTCTGGAAAAGATAAATAATTCTGTTTTAGCAGGATTAACAGAAAGGTAATTTATAGTACTTTAAGTATGCTCTCAATTTCGCCCGTTAGCTTAATAATCTGATATCATCTGCGTAGCCAAAGGTGGTAAAAAAAAAGAGAGACAGAGGGGAAGGACCAATGTTTCGCGGGCATCGGCCACAGAGGCAACAAATGCAACCGCTGCATTCGATACCCCCGACACAACCCACAAGCCCATGCCTATCCACCGTCTCCCAATTTTGCCCCTTGTCACGATAGCTGTTTTGTTTATTTGTAAAATTCATACAATATTGTTAGTGATTTTGGTTAGTGGAAAAGGGAAGAAAAACCAGGGAGAAAGGTAGAAAAATTAAATAATTTGAGCAGTAGGTGAATTTACGAACCAGAAACTATTTTACTATTCTAATACTACTAATTAATTTATTAACCTAATTAATAATAGGCAGAAAACTATGAGCAGAGATGGATGGCTCATCAATGGATAGAAGGCAGAAAGACCGTAGTCCGTACATAAGCAGGTACAAGGCAGAACATTCATGGGGGGGTTCAGAACAGCGACACACAACGGGAAAGATTTACCGGGTTGCGATATTATTCTTAGATGTCCTGTATTAGGAACGACATATATATTAGCAGTAGGAGGAGATTAATTTGGCCGATCTTAATGAGAACTGTTCTAAGGCCCATAATCTGTGTCCTCAATGAAGCTTTTAACTCTCCTTGCATTCCCATTTATCTGACCCCGGCAGATGTGCAAAGTGCTTCAGACCCCTGACTTGCAGCAACAAGCACATTTAAGTTTTGTTTGATCTTTCTTAATAGGGCAGTCTTTCCTGCCTAACGCCCCAGCACAGAAAATTACAAAAATAGGTTCTAACTTTTCTAGGTAAATATTTTAATTCTTTTAATGAAATTTATAAAAATTTATATTTTTGTATGAAAAATAGGTACTGATTTGAATCGCTCAGATGCATCATTTTCGAGAAAAATTTATAAATTACTCTGCATAGCATACACATATCATATTTTCATTAAAACTTTGAAGTAGGCTGACGTTTGGGTTATTTGCTGACTTTATTTATTGTAATAGTTTAACATTTTCTGACTCGATTTTTATTATTTTTTTAATAAGGAGCGATTTTCCAATAGGGAACTAGCTGTACGGGAGTACCAAAGACGGTTTCTAGCAATAATACCACCACATCGGAAAGTATTTAGCCGTGTACATAGAAATTTAGTAGAACATGGGTCATTTAGGCGTTTGCAGGGGCAAGGAAGGCATATGGAAAATTATGATTTGGAGGGGGTGCTAAATAGAATTGAAGAAAATTCTCAAATCTCAATAAGATCTTTGGCAAATATTACTAATATCTCTAAATCAATTATAAGTATAAGTATCATAATAGATTTGTTTTCCAAAACTGGCATCGTTACCGTGATTTCGTTTGTAAAAGGTGAAAGGCCAATGTGGGCACTACACCTTATATGGAAAATCAATTTTTGACAAAGATTTTATTCCGACAAAAGAGATTAAAATTTAATCGAGCACATAATTTTCTCCTTGAAACAAACGCTGGCAAAAGTGCATTAGGTTTAAAAGTTTTATTATTTTAAAACATATTTTTAGATTTTAAGAATGACCCAAATGCAGGGGCTACATCCTTTCCATTATCAAAGGGTGCAGGCATTAAGAGCCGAAAATTGTCCACCTTGTGTTAAATTTTGCTATTGGGTTCGAAACCACCAAAACGCATTAAGAAATATTTTAGGGTCGGATAAGGCAACCTTTTCAAGAGGCAAGGCATGTAACATGCATAATACTCATTTTTGGAGTAATGAGAATCCGAGAGTTGTTCGAAAACCAACTTTCGACAGAGGTTTTCTTTAAATGTATGGGCTGGTCTCATAGGGGATACGTTAATACTATTAATAGGTCCTATTATTTTGCCAATAGATTAAATGCAAATAATTATTTAAATTTTCTTCAAAATGAACTGGTAGAATTGCTAGACGATGTTCCATATCAGACTCAGTTAGACATGATCTTCCAGCATGATGGGCCGGCGCGCCGGCCCATTTTGGACACCAAGTGAGGAACTAGTTCCAGCTGGTTAAATAATAATTTCCCAAACAGGTGGATAGGTCGAGGTGGTCCAGTAAACTGGCCAGCTCGATCGTGTGACCTTAATCCTTTGGATTATTATCTGTGGGGTAATATGTGCAATATTATTTACTCAACAGAAGTAGATAGCCCAGAAGAGCTACTAAGAAGGATTAATGCTGCTGGAAATCAAATTAAAGAAAACCGGTTCGACATTCTTCGATCGACCCAAAATATAAAAAAATGTAAATATCAAATAAAGTAAATTAGTGTTTTCCCTGCAAGAGGTAATGCTGCTCAATGCAAAAGACTGCGGATCTAGGGGACTCAACCCCGAACAAAAATGCCCAAATCCCCTAGTGTTACGTGACCCGTGCTAGAGGAGGGAAGGGACAATGGGACCTCTTGGGGTGTGGGCACCCCCTTGCAGTAAGGAGCCTCGCCAAAGCTAAGGTGTAAGGCAACGTGCTGAGGGCTGTATGCCGCAGGGCGGATAACAGGCGACCTCCCATTGTATTTAACCTTACCCTATTGAAAATGCCATATAGAACCATATAAAAAACACGTATCTGGATTCTATATGGTTTCTATCTGGTTCAATATAGGCATTTGAAACAGGCATTTCACTATAGAACCAGATAGAAGATTACATTATAGAACCAGATAAAAACACTCTAAAACACTATAGAACCAGATAGGTTTCCCTATATGGTTGAATATGAAAATTTTTAAAATGGAAATCCATATTCAACCATATAGAATCCGTAATGTAAACCAGGACTTTCCATTTAGGACCTATAAAACCATATAGAACCAGATACGTTTCCTTATCGGATTCAATATGGGTTCTATATGGCATTTTCAATAGGGTACCCACACAATCCGGCGCTGTGTCGGCGGACCTTTAGTTCCGGACTACTCGTGGGATTTATATGGACAAACCTATAAAACCTAAAGGCTCTCCGCAAGGAGAGACCGCTATGCCAGGCTCTCAAGTGGGGACTGACGTGTCAGGCTCCTCAAAAGAGGGGACCTCACAAGGACCCACAAAGAGGACAGGCAATACCGCTTCCGGGACTCGTAAGAGTAACAGAAGCGGCGCAGCTAAGTCTAGAGCCAGGAGGCTCAGGCTCAAGGCACAGTCCATGGGCCCGGGCTCTGGCGAAGGCCAAACGCCTGCTTCGGCGCAGGGGGGGCCTAAGGATCTGGGACGAAACGTAACAGATCTGAGGGAAGCACCCCTGAGTCGAAGGGGGCAAGGACGCTGGCAAAGAGGCCCAAGGCTTCCGGAGTTAAATCGGGAGGCCAAGGGACTGCTTCGTAAAGCGCCGCAACGTTTGCTGGTTTCGGGGTGACCATCGTGCCGGATGCTTATCCGGACGCGGTGATCACGGAAGAGCAGAGCAAAACCACGCCCACATTGATCTGATGGGAGAAGATCGATTCCCACAGTTTGAGCAGTTTCGCTGGTCGTCGCAGGGAACCATCACGGTTAAATGCGGGGACCAGTGGACGTTGGACTGGCTGGAGGGGATCATCTCCTCGATCATACCATGGAAAGGGGCATCACTGCGCGTGCAGCGGTACATTCCCAGGGCAATTAAGATGGTTGCAGCTGTCCAAGGTCTCCCAGACGACACCCCCACCATCCTTAAGCGAGTCCACAGACAGAATCCTGGTCTTAGGACAAATCTGTGGAGGACGTATCATCGAAAAGAGGGGAAGAACAGGGTTCTCCTGGTTTTTGGAGTAGACGAGGCTTCAGCCGAGGTCTTGCAGCGACAAAAAGACGGCTCCAGCCGAGGAGGGTAGTAGCAATACTCCCTTGTAGGAAGCCCGAACCCTATCCGACAGCAACACTGGGCAAGGAGATGGCCGAACTCATGGCTCAGGTGGATGTAGAGGATACTCCACCAGGGACAAGAGCTGGACCATCCCTAACCTAGAAATCAGGTAATATCTCTATTCTCCACCATGGATAAAGAGACCTCATTTCTACAAAGCAATTTGCAAAATAGCAAAGGGACGATTTCCTTAATAGATCGTCACATAGCTATGGGGCAGACACATGTATATCTCCTACAAGAACTTTGGTCATAAAAGGGTCGCGTAAGAGGCCTAGGTTGATGGGAAAGATCTCTCTTCTACAAGAGGGACGACCAACTAAATCCAAGGGCTTGTATACATCTACGTCGAGAGACGGATCGAGTCCTCACTAATAGCTAATTTATTTTCTAGGGACTTAGTAGCGGTGAAACTATGCCTTAGGGACGACCAACTAAATCCAAGGGCTTGTATATATCTACGTCGAGAGACGGATCGAGTCCTCACTAATAGCTAATTTATTTTCTAGGGACTTAGTAGCGGTGAAACTATGCCTTAAGGACAGACCAGGACAGAGCACATCCTTGGTGGTATGCTCGGCCTATCTGCCCTATGACTCGATAGACGATCCTCCAACACAGGAGCTCATCGATATAGTGGAATACTGCAGCACATTGGGCCTCCCGCTGATCATCGGATGCGATGCCAACGCACACCATATGGTGTGGGGAAGCACCGACACGAATCGGAGAGGGCTCAGCCTCTTAGAGTATCTACATACTACGGATCTGTAAATCCTAAACCGCGGCACTACACCGACCTTTGTCACGTCACGAAGACAAGAGGTGATAGACTTGACATTGGGCTCCCCCTCCATGGCCCCGATGACAAGAAATTGGAAGGTGTCTGAAGGAACATCCCTGTCGGATCACAGACACATTCTCTTTAGCTTAGACCTAACTCACGAGCTCATGGGCTCATGGGCTCAACAGGACCATGCGGTCTAAATCGCCTGCGGATTGGGACAGCCACAAGCAGTCTCAGCGCAGGTACAAATATTTCATAAGAATTTCTAAGAAGAAATTTTGGAGGACGTTCTGCGGTAACGTAGACGAGCTTCCAGCAGCAGCCAAGCTTCAAAAGATTCTCTCAAAGGATCCGGGACGAGAGCTGGGGACATTAAGGCTTCCCTCCGGTGACTATAGTACCACCGCGGAGGAGGCACTTAAATGGCTCCTGGAAACTCACTTTCCGGGCTCAAAAATCCTGCAAACTGTTGAACCACCAAGGCGGGCTCCACCAGCTGGCATAAGGCCGACTGACTGGAAGTTAGCTGCAAAGGTAGTGACTGAAAGCTCCATAAAGTGGGCCATCCACTCATTTAGATCTTTTATAAAAGGAACTAGAACCACTGACACCGCACTTGATACACCTCTTTAGAGCCTGCCTGGCACGAGGCTACGTGCCACAATCCTGGCGAAAGGTTCGAGTGGTGTTTATCCCCAAGCCAGGACGTTGTAACTACGAGACGGCAAAGGACTATCAGTCTATCCTCGTTTCTTTTAAAAACTATGGAGAAACTGGTGGACATATTTATTAGCACTAAAAAGAATTCCCATGCATCCCAATCAATACGCCTACAGGACAGCCATGTCGACGGAGACCGCTCTTCACAGCCTTGTGATAATACTAGAGAGAGGGACTCGTCCTAAAGAGATGGCTCTGAGCACGTTTCTAGATATTGAAGGAGCTTTCAACAACACCTCCTTCGAGTCGATAAATAGAGCTGCAGAAGGCTTTGGCATATACCATACCATTGTCAAATGGATCCGTGTCATGCTGGAAAGCAGGATCATTACAAGCTTGATTGGAACTACGGAGATTAGTTCAACCGTAGCCAGAGGCTGCCCGCAAGGAGGAGTACTATCGCCCTTGCTGTGGTGCCTAGTGCTGGATGGGCTACTTCGTATACTAAACGAGGAAGGTATATACATTCAAGGCTACGCGGACGACCTCATCATCGTCGTAGCCGGTAAGGTACCAAACACTATTAAAGATATCATGCAAAGAGCTCTTAATAAGGTCGAAAGGTGGTGCAAGTTTTATTACCTATTTTTCTACGATAATCATAACTTTAGGTGCAATGGAATAAAATCCATTTTGAAAAAAAAGGATTTATTTATCCTGATTATATTTTACCTATTTTACCTAAATTTAAATTTTTTAGAGAATTGGAATTTTATCTAAATTCTTATTTTCAATAAAAATAAAATTTCCAAATATTGCCATCAAAAACATGCTTTTTTTAAAATTGGGGTTGTCGTATCTGGATGACATAATTATGGACTTTTTAGTTATTTTTGTTGGTAATAACATACTGGTTGTAACTGGGAACAGTGACGAGACTGACGCGAGTGACGCGAATGTAAGATTCCTGTGTAAAGTTGCAAGTTTTTCGAATCAATCTCATGTTATTATGTTTTATTTAAAAATTCCATGCATTTTTACAAATTCTAGCAAATTTTTGCCTTACAAAATTGTAAAATTTATAATGGTATGATATTTTTAAAAGATATGTATATTTGTCAGTTATTTAAAAAAAATTAAATAATAGAAATCTGGTTCAATAAAATGTTATACCATAATACTTACATTAAATAATAAACCAGCTAAAAGTTATTTTCCAGGATCTATTTTCGTAAAGAAGGTACCTAATTTAAGAATTTTCTCAACTAAAACAATAAAAAAAGTTTACTTATTTAGGTAGGTAACTACCTATTTTTATAAATTTTGCAACCTAAAATCCCATCTCTATTAATTATAAATATATAAAATCAAAAAATTTTACATGTGACATAATTTAAGGTTGACATTAACAAAAAAGGTTTACTCCCATTAAAATTAAGAATATAAAATACAAGCTGTTTATAAAAAAAACTTTGATCAAAGACAAAATACGGTACAAGTTTTTTATTCCGATATATTTAAAGATTTTTTCATTTTTCAAAACATGTGCGGATATAAAGGGTGTTTTTTTTAAGAACGATAAAACTTTAAACTTGAATAAAAACCACAATAATTAACTTTTGATAAAAAAATCTGTTTCTATTTGAAAGATCAACACATGGCATTAATATTTAAAAATGATTTGAGGCATATGACCACCACGGCTGTTCCTGACGAAGCGCATTCTGTCAGTCCAATTTTGGGTGACTCTTTTAAGCAATGATGGCCGTATGTTTTAAATCATTCGAACAATGTTAGCTTCCAAGGCTTCCAGTGTTGCTGGATTATTAGCATAAACCAATGACTTCACGTAGCATCATAAAAAATAATCGAGAGGCGTCAAATCGCAAGACCTGGGTGGCCAGTTGACATTTCTTGAAATTAATTTATCACCAAATCTGGTTTGCAATAATTCAATAGTTTCCTTCGCCGTATGGCACGTAGCGCCATCCTGCTGCATCCACATTACGTCCGTAAGAAATATTTGTTTATCATGGTCCGGTATCGTTCCCCATTGACCGTTACGTTAACTTCAGCCTCATTTTTAAAGAAATAAGGTCCAATCAAGCGTGTTAACCGCACAAAACTGTACATTTTTCTGAATGCAATGGGGTCTGTAGGATCCCGTCTGGATTTGCATCACTCCATATCCGGCAATTCCGCTTATTTAACAAACCCACTGAGCCAAATGTGCCTCATCGCTGAACACAATTTTGCGATAAATCAATGGGTCAGCTTGCAACTACTCTAAAGCTGGATCTTATATGGGTGTAGCCCAAGATCTTTGCTCAAAATTTTCCACGTGGTGGACGGATAAAGCCCCAACTGAGCTACAGCACTACGATCGACGGCGAATCGATAATTTGTAATTTTCTTGCACTTTCGTTTACCGCAGCAATGTTTTCTTCAGTAGGCACATTCCTTTGACGTAATGCTGTTTTTGCATCCTTTAGAGAGAGTGTGGTTCTAAATCTATCCAAAGTGCGACGGATGGCTTGCTCAGATGGACGATTATGTGCACCGTAAAATTCATTAAGTCGTCTATGTGTTTCGCGAATTGAGGAATGATTTTCAAAGTAAATTTTGATAATTTGATAACGTTGTTCAAGCGTGACTCTATTCATAATGGTTTGCCACACTATACTAAATGCAAATGTCACTAATAGCGCGCAAAATGACGTATGATTCCAAAGCAATTACGATTAGAAGTTATATCATTCTTAAAAAAACACCCTTTAGGTATGGGCTTTATGGGCTGCAGCCCTGGGCCCCGCTTGATCCAGGGCCCCCTACACAGTGAAATTAATATTTTTGAGGTCCCTCATCGCGATTTTCTATTTCCTATTTAAATAACATGAAAAACATGTTTTACTTTAAAATTAGATAAATAACTCGATAACATCAATTGACTAACATGATCACTGATCATTGATCAGGTCAGATATGTTCTGGTCATTTGTAAACCCTCTAAAAAATAGACTTTCACAATTTTATGGTAAATCTACTCGTTCAAAAGTTATTCAAGCTTTATTAATAGAATTTATGGTAATATTTAAGTTTTTCTTACTTTTTATGCAAAACTTTAGGATTTATTACAAAATCTCGGAACTTTTTTCATACAAATATGTTATTTTTTAGTTTTTAAATCTAATAGTTACTGATTTTACAAATTAATATTTTTGGTAAAAATAACAATAAATTTCAAGAAAATAGCAATTTTATTGCAAAAAATTAATTTATATGTATATCCAGTAATTTAAAAAAAAATTGAATGACAGTTTTTGTATATTATAAACAAAATGATTTACAAAAAAGGTAATAAATCCGATGGTTTTTTCTTATAATTTACTACAAATTTTACATGGCACCTAAATAACCTTTGAACGACTATATATATAATTAAATAATAAAAGACCTTATTTGCAGAGCGTTAATTTTCTATAAAAAATATGTCATTTAAGTCCATTGATCCGTTTACGAGTTAAGTATATAATTCCAAAATTGAAAAAAATCCCGTGAGACTATTAATTAAAAAAATATGTGTTTTTTACAAACTTTAAAGGCCTCTAGGTAAGTTGGATTGAATCGACTTATTGTACATTCTACAGGCATTTTTGGGATACCTTGTGTAAATCCTAGAATGTTTTATTTGTTATATTTATATTATTTATATATTATATATTTATATTTATATATATTTTATTCCATTCTTGGGTTTTATTTTTGACCTCAGAATATTGTTTTGTTTTTATTTTGTAATAAAAGTAATGCCTTTTATATTTATTTACCTTTGTGGGTCACTCCCACGAAAAAATAAATCCCTTGTTTATTTAGCCCAGGCCCCCCAAATGTAACGGCCCGCCCCTGTATCGAAAAATCGATATTTTTATATCGTTACATTCTTAAATATAAAAAATTATCGATATATCGTTTCCATCACTAATCATGACATACCTACTCAATTATGGATAAGGCTGTGGATAAACTTGTATTTACAAAAAGTTTTATAACGTGAAAACGGAAAGAGATATAAAGAAAACGTAACAGAAAAATTTCGTTTAAGATAAAATGCAAAATTAATCAAAAAAAGTATTTTATCAGCGGCGTACCATATTTAAAAAAAACCCTACGGCATTATCCGTATATGGATAATGCCATAGGGTTTTTTTTAAATATGGTACATATTTGCATATACATATATATATAGTAGGGTGTTACATTTAAAACGAACAATTTTTTTTCTTGCTGACACATAAAAATTTTGTTTTTTAGGTTGAAAAAAAAATTTCCTGAAAATATGAGCCCTTAATTTTGATTCTAAGTACTTCCTTTTTAATTTTGTAGTTTTTCCATATAAAAAGCATGTATTTTTAATCATTTTTACTTTAAATTACTATATTTTGGCCGGGTTTTGAATTATAATTTTTATCACCATAATTTTCTGCATAGTATTCACGGTTTTTGGAAGGCCCTGCATCAATTTTGTTTTTGATTTATTTACGTTGATTGTAGTAGCTCCAAAAGTCGTTTTTTTCACTTTTTCTCACATATTTTTGAGAAAATCGAGCGAATGACTGGTTTTACCGAAAAAGTGAATACTATGCAGGAAATTATGGTGATAAAAATTATAATTTAAAACCCGGCCAAAATATAGAAATTTAAAGTAAAAATGATTAAAAATACATGCTTTTTATATGGAAAAACTACAAAATTAAAAAGGAAGTACTTAAAATCAAATTTAAGGGCTAAAATTTTCAGGGAATTTTTTTTTCAACCTAAAAAACAAAATTTTCATGTGTCAGCAAGAAAAAAAATTTTTTCGTTTTAAATGAAACACCCTAATATATAGTGCATATATGCACGCCAACCTACAAATTTGGTATCTTTATAAAAATATATCTTTTAGTGTTCAAAAGTTATTAATAAAAAACATTTTTTATGAATGGCATAACTTAATATGAAAAAACTTTTAATTTTTCCCAAGGAATTTACCGTTAAAGTTATTCCCCAAATTTCCGGTACACCCTATATAGAAAACAATTAACCAATCAGAGCACGACATTTTTTATCGTAATCTAGTGTGCAGCGAAGAATCCCTTACTTTTATGGTTTATTACTTTTCATGGAAACCTTTTTTTATAGAAAGTGCGAAAACAAAAATAAAATTAGCTTGGTCGGTAGCAATTTTTTCCTGAATATTATGATACATTATGGTACATTAAAAAACCTAGTTTCAATTGTCAACTATAATTGAAAACAGATTAGAGAGGGTTTTTTGGAAATACAGGGAAAAGTTGCGTGGTATTCGCGACGTATGTAGACAAGTAAGCATCGGATTGGCCGGGAGGCGGCGTCGAGCCTCGACTGCGGCTATAAAAGATCTTTTGCCAAGCGGCGGCACTCTCACAGTCTTTCGGCACCACAATTAATAAACAACCCCCTGCAACAGGCACATCAACTTCCAAACGGACCTAAGAGACCCACGTCGCACCAAAACCAAACAACAGGTGATACAAGGTGCGTAAAATTTTTATAACATTAAAAAAAATTTTTAATAATTGTTTAAAAATTAAATAATATTTATGTTTTTGCAATTTCATAAGATTTTTCATCTTTAAATGTATTGTACCAATTTATATTATTATATTATTATTTATTAGTATACCTACTGGTAAAAAACAAAAATGACTTAATTTTTATTTACCAGTAGATTAAGACATTCTTTAATATTTTGTAAATTCGGCAAAAGTGTTTTTTATGCTAGCATTTCGGCAAAGCATCGGTCATTTGTTAATATTAAATGAGAAACATGATCAGAATTTATTCATTTTTTAACTTTTCAACTGCACGGATTTTTTAAATTTAGTATATTAATACTCTTACGTTTAAACATAATTATAATTATATATAATCATTTTTAAGTATACAGCAATATATACTCAATTTAAAAAATCAGTTTTTGCCGCGTGGTAACAACCAATAAGCAATTTTAGTTTCCAGATACATATATAGCGTATAATATAAAAAACGAAAACGTAAAAAACGGTTATTTAAAAAAATATACCCATCTATGTTTTATATTTAATATTTTAGACACAAGAAATTAATTTTTAAATATTTATTAATTATTACTTAATATTTTTTTTAAATTTAACCACATTTGTTATATTTGTTAATAATAATATATAATTAATTAAATTTGTGGAATTAATTTAAATACTCAAATAATATTAGCATCAAATTATATAATAGAAATAAAAATATGTCGAATATTTTAAGTTGTAATATAGCTAATATTGTTTGTGCTTTGATAAGGAGTGCCTTTCGAAGTAAAACTTTATTGAACCAAAAATTTAAATTACTAGTACAATATTTGCTGCAATTTTTACTAATTCATTATTTGCAAAAATTACTTTTAATTGTTAAAAAAATTTGACAGATGATAGCAATAAAAATTGTATAAAATATTAGTTACTTGTGTATACCCCGTGATCAAAGTTATCTGCTCACCATTCTAACTTCGTTATTATTGGAGCTACAAAGTCGGCTAAATTAGCAAATTGATGGCATTTTTCCTTCTGATTTAAATGGTGGAAACAGAAAAATAACTGAACGTCGGGTTTCCAAAATATTCACAAAAATAACATGTTTTTAAAGGGACACGTTGTATATTTTTATATGTTTTAAAAGACAATTTAATTTTGAACAAAAAAATATTATTGCACAACTAGGGGTGTGCGAATATCGTTCGAATCGAATAATTTGAATTTTCGAATTATTCAAAATTCTACGAATAATTCGAAAAAAATCAAATAGGTAATGCGAAATTTTTCGAATTATTCGAAAAATTTTGAATAATTCATAAAATTTCGAATAATTCGTAAAAATTTAAAAAATTTCGAATAACTGGAAAATTTTCAAATAATTCGCGAAATAATGAAATATCTCTGGAATTTCAATTGCTTCCATTTAAATTCCTTTAAAGCGTGTATCGAAATATTCTACTTACGAATAATATACTTTTCGTTAAAAAATCAAATACCCAGAGAAAAAAAAATCTATAAGAAAAAGGTTACTCATGTAATATTTCAGTATCGTATTTATTATTTTTGCACAAAAATTTGTAGCAAATTTTAAAATTTTGTATTTTTCATAATACTGTTTCGATACTTCGAATTGATTTTAAGGAAATGATTCATCTGACGAAAAATTTCACTTTAACCTTTTTAGTAGAGAATTTAATTTTCTTAAAAAAATATTTTCGAGTCAATTTTGTTAAACTTTGTTTGTTTGGGAGTTCTGAAAAAATTAAAATTGCGATGATAGACCTCTTAATAATAATATTATGTACTCAAACATTTAACGATAATTTTTTTTTGTCACCCCAAACCATATTTTTGATATATTTTTCAAAAAAAAATAGTTGATTTTTTTGGCCCAGTCTATAGACTGTTTTTTTCGAATAATTCGAAATTTTTTCGCATTATTCGTAAACTATTATATTATTAGCAAATTTTTCGAGTATTTTAAATTCAGGGTTTCTTATTTTCAATATTCAAATATGAATTTAACAGTCAATATACATTATATTCAAACCATGAAATATAGTTACTATAGTAACTATATTTCATGGTTTGAATATAATGTATATTGACTGTTAAATTCATATTTGAATATTGAACATAAGAAACCCTGAATTCAAAATACTCGAAAAATTTGCTAATAATATAATAGTTTACGAATAATTCGAAAAAATTTCGAATTATTCGAATTATTCGTAAACTTTCGAATAATTCGAATTTTCGAATTATTCGCACACCCCTACACTGAAAGAAATATATGTTTGTTTTAGCAATGTATGTGGTTCATATATGGACTACCACATACATTGCTGAAGCAAACATATATTATATTTACCTTAACCATTTTTATATTTAGTTTTAACATATTATGTTAAAACTAAATATAATATATGTTTGCTTCAGCAATGTATGTGGTAGTCCATATATGAACCACATACATTGCTAAAACAAACATATATTTCTTTCAGTGTATGCATAACCTAAACTTAAAAATAAACAATTAATTAGCACTTGAACGTTCTAATAGTTGTTGAAATAACCAAATTATTACCTTATTTTAACTAAAATCAAAAAGGGCTTATTAATTGTTTATTTTTAGGTTTAGGGTAATTATAACTAAATGTACACTGCCCTTCAAAATTAACACATATTAATTTAAAAATTCTAACTCTAAAACGCCTTTACCAATCTGTATAAAATTTTGGATAAAAATACTTTAACTTATATCTTAGTTTACGTTTTCAAGGGTTTTTCGAGAAAATATCCTTAAATCCCTTTTATTTAATAAGAAAAAAAACGCTAAAAAAACTTTTATAGGGAATTTTTTTTAAGTAAATAAAATATATGCTGTGAAATACCGTATTTTTGTGTATACCCTAAAAATGTTGTACAAATCAAACAAACAGTAACGAAAATACAGCGCTTTAAAGTCGTCAAAAATGACCACTTTTCAGCAAAATAATTAAAAAAGGCTCATTTTTACCGACTTTGAAGCACTGTATCTTCGTTACTGTTCGTTTGATTTGTACAAAATTTTCAGGGTATACTAACAAAAATACGGTCTTTAACATCATATTTTTTATTTACTTAAAAAAAAATTTCCCTTAAAGTTATATAAAAAAAATTATTATTAAATAAAAGGGCTTTAAAAATATTTTCTCGAAAAACCCTCGAACAGGTAAACTGAGATATATATATAAATATTTTTATATATATATATAAGTATTTTTATACAAAATTTCATAAAGATTAGTAAAGGCGTTTTAGAGTTAGAATTTTTTTACTTATTATGCGTTAATTTTGATGCAATAATAAATTTTTTGTTTTAAATTAAATTGTATTTTAAAATATAATTTTTATAAATATTTCATAAACCCGACGTATTTTTTGGTTTTCATCATTTTAATCAGAAGAAAAAATGCAACCAATTTGCAAATTAAACTTTGTAGTTTCAATAATAAAGAATTTAGCAATGGTGAGCAAATATCTTTGGACACCCTGTATATATAAGATTTGTGAAAAATAAAAAAAGTTTAATCTTAAAAAAAAACAACACTCTACAATACATTTGATTTGCTTTTTTACATTTTGGATTTAAGCAAATTTAAATAAAATCTTAATATATAAAATACATAATACTTGCAAATGTTTCATTTTACTTAATATATTTTATGTAAAACTACCCAAAACTTGAAAAAATAACGTTAAATAATAAAGTGGTAGCTATTGCATATATTTCATAAAAAATATTTTTTTATGGATTTAAATTAAGTACAGATCAGTGTTGCATAAAATCATTAAACAAAAGCTGCACTAAGAAAACACAATAATAATGATTGTGTTTTTTTTGCTATCATAAAAATACTACGAACAAAACAAGGCGAATAATATTAATTAATTCGAAAGGAAAATACGCAAATTTCTGTTGGGCTCAAAATAGTAATTAATTTTTATATTTGTAATGTAGAAATGTAGAAAGGGAAAAGGGACCTCTTCTCCGAAAAACCATTTTGAGTATTTTTTTAAATACAACACTAAATTTTTAACTCTCCTACTTTAAAAATTGACCCAGTAAGAAATTGATGAACTTCTTCTACAGAATCCTCTTGCAACTTTCAAAATGGTGCAAAATTTTTATTTGACAGACTTAAGGATTAAGAACTTGCTTAGAAATAAAAAATACCCTCCAGCGTAAGACAACTTTCAGGCATGTTTATAGATAAGGTCTTTAAAATCCTAAATCGATAAAATTCCGAAAATCTATATCTGACCCTGGGTCTCTTGCAATTTCAGTGTAGAGACAAGAGATCTCTTTTCTCTTTCAGCATGACATTTAATAAAATAATTATACTTAGGGTTTATACTCGTATAGATTTATTTAATGTTTTTAATTAATAACTGTAGTTACGTATATAATCCTAAAATAATAACCAGATATTTAGTTTTCACTAGTGTCTTATTATTTTATGGGGAGTTGAAGCTCTAAGTTTTCTAAAATAAACATACCAAACTTCGGGGTGTAGATAGAATACGTAAAAATAATACGAAAAATCCAAATCAACGTATTTCAAAAATGCCAGCTAAGCGAAGTGTTAAAAAGTCTTTTAAAATGCCATTTTTTAATATTTAAAAAACTTTCGATGCCGCGTGCTGGTGAAAATACTAAACTCAAAATCTATAAATTTTATGAACTTTAATATAATATTATGTCCAAAGAAATAAACTAATAAATCCAGTAGTTTCTTTAATATTAAACAGTGACAGTATATCACTTAGCTGGCCTTTTTGGATATACATTAATTATGATCTTTCGCATTATGTAAACGTATTCTATCTACTTCCTAAGTTTGGTCCATTCGTCAATATGGAAGTGGATAATAGTATATAATAATATACTATTATCCACTTCCGAGAGATATTCACGAGGATGAGGTT